ATTAAAAATACGTATAACACCAAATATTTTTAGACTTCATTTAATTATGATTATTATCAGTATTTGGAAGATCTTCAAAGTTACGCAGATCCTCCGTATTTTCAGAATTCGCAGAATTCTCAGTATTTTCAGAATTCTGAATTAAAAGATCGTCATACTGCATCATCCACGTGACTTCATTATGACTGGTTAATTGCTCTGTTGACAATGGTAATATAAATCTTAACTTTTATATAAACCTTTTGAGTAATATAACTAATTAAGATGTGAATATATTTTTAATATATAAAAGAACCTAACTAACTGAGATATGAATATACTTTACAGTATATAAAAGAACCTAATCAACTATAATCTAACCAACTGAGATGTAAATATACTCTATAATATATAAAATAACCATTTACTTACTAAGATAATTATGTAAACTTTAAAAAGAATCATTACTCAAATACTTTATCTAATAGTCATGATTTGATAGGATTGTATGTTAACAATATAATTATTTTTGATTATAATAATATTTTATCATTAGTTTTTTAATTTTAAGTTTATATTTCTAAAGAATATTTATAGAATTACTTTAATAATTTTTTTAATATTCTATATCTTTAAAAATTATATTTAAAAATAAATAATATTTAATTAATATAATTATAATATATAAGAGCAATAGCTAATAAAAAGAAAAAATTTAAATTTTTTAATTAATTTATTTAATTGATCATATTTATGTACTTAAAATTAGATTAAAAATTAAATTTAACAAAAATTTTAGATTTTCTTCTTTTTTTACTAATACCTTTTATAAGTATATAAAATTTACTAAATTATATAATTCAAGTTCTTAATTAATAATTTTTCTTTATATATTAAGAAATTTAATAAATATATTAATAGGAAAAAATTTTTTTACTAATCTTTTAGATATTTATCATTAGTCTAGAGCATAGTGAAGGACTATTATAGTTTAGGCTCAGTGACACAAAATGTCATTCTATCTGCCTGCTTAACCTATAAAACGATGACGTTCAGTTACTGTGTTTATCAGTATTGCTCATGATCATTTCCCAAATCTTATCAAATTTATTTAAAAACTTTTTGCATTAAAAAAAATTTTTTCAGCTTTATATTTTTTTTTTATATTGCCATTTTTTCTGAGAAATGTGAAATAAAATAATAACGCTTCATACTGTTATATTAAATTGTGTCTTCTTCCGGTATTAATGAAACTAGTCGTCCTTCTTTGAGCTTCCTTTCTTGTAACCTTCACAAGTTCTTTATACAAAGCAACCTTTCGAACGTGAACTGTTTGAAGAAGATATCATTTAGTGAACAGACACGTAATATTGCGATGAAAGAAAGTCCTGCCGCGAACTCTTTGCTTTTAAGATTGATTTTAGTCTTTTCTAATATTAGTCTTTGACTCTTGTGTAAAGTAATCATCCAGGCAAGACGTAAGAAAACCTGCAGACGTGAATACTGCATCCCGTTCTTACCTTTCTATGACCTTTTGATAGGTACAATAGGTACAACTTTAATACCTTCTAGGTTGGTAATTGTGGGTCCTTCATACTTCATGAATATGACAAATACTGTTACTAGAAGAGAAGGTGGCTCCCGTTCTTTGAATATGATATCTTGTATGACTCCTATTGAGCCATTTACCAATCTGCCTTCTATTTATACATTTGCTGTTAACATAATACATGCACTTTTTGCCAACAGTAATTATGCTTCAAGACCTTTTGCTGCTTCTGAATTGGCTTGTTTAGCTTCAACTCCTCTACTGTGTATACCTATAATCTTGGCAACTGGTCGCTACAATGATCTGAAGTGAATACTCCTAGAATATTTTCTCTACATCTTTACCACATCTCACGCCTTTCATGCTTCAGACTTCACAATAGCCCTCATCGTTTCCTAGTTATAACTCTTTTAATAGAATTAAATGCAGATTATTCTGAAATATAAGTTTATATAACTAAATATTTAAAATCTAACTTTTTAAATAAATAATAATACTAATATATATATTTTTAAAATATTTTTTAAAGAAATTTAATTAAATAATTAATTTTAAAGACTTTTTTATATTTTTTTATTAATATGAGATAAATTAAATTATATATATATATATTAAAATTTTATAATAATTTACAATTTAAGTTATATATAAATTATGAAATATTTTACTATTATTATATTATTTAAATAAGCTAAATTAATTATTAAAAAATATTTAAATTATAAAATTATAAAATATTTTAATATATTATTAAATATAATTACATATATTATAATTTGAATAATAGAAAATATTATATATATATTTTTAATTTAGATATATATAAAACAATTTAAATTGTATTATTATTAATATTAAATAATAAAAAGAAATAAAGAAATTTAAATTATTAATAACTTTATTTTAATTATTTTTTTAAAATTTTATTATTATAAATATAAATAATATAAATAATATAAAAAATAAAATAAATTTTAATAAAGAATATATATATATAGTAAAAAAGAAAAAAATTACCAAAAGTTTTTTACTTTATAAGTTAAATATTTTTTTAATAAAATAAATCCAAATTTAATATTAACTCAAAAAATTTTTATAATGGTTTTTATTATTATAAAACATTTATATTATTATTCTAAATGAAACAAAAGACTATATATTGTATTACTGAATATTAATTGAATTTCAATTATTTAAGCATTTTTCTATCTATTATGTGATTTTTGTCTAATAATTTGCTCATGATTCCTGTTTTCTATTAATTAATAATTATATATAATTTTTTATAATAAAAAAGATAAAAAATTTTCTAAACAAAAAAATAGATTTTTATTAAAAAAATGTTCTAACTGTAACCAAAGGTGATTGTCATTATATCACGTAATACTATCAAATTTAAATTTAGTATTAAAAATTAAAAATGTATTATTTTAAACTAATTAAACGAATTGAGATCAATAAAAAGCATGATGTATGTATTAAATTTGGATTACAACACATTCTGTAAAATTTTTTTATAAGGTTCTGATAACCAAAGGAAACTAAGCTCAAATTATTATTGTAATTTAAGCCTGTCAACTTGAATTGCAGTAGTAATTTGAGCCTGACTAATTAAAGAATATTTGAATTATAACAAGTTAAACAGACTCTGCTTTTTATCATTAATGCTGCTTTGTGTATTTTCTAGTATTATGATCAGGTTCTTCATAGACTTTGCATATATATTTTTATTTGTTACTATTTTTATCAGTATTAAGTTCCTCATTAATGAATATTTTGTTAAAATTGAGAGTTCTTAGTACAAATGAACTTTGTAAATGTTGCATTGCTTATGTATTTGTATTCAGTTATTTCTTTTATAAATTTGATATAATTGACATTTTTATTATAAACTGTATTATTTTGATTTATTGTTGTTCTTCATTTTCTTTATTATTTCATTATTGTTTTTTATACAGAAAATCTATTATATTCATTTCATTTTGATTGTTTTCAATAAAAATATAAAAACAGAAACACAAAACATAACTCTCTCTCTCAAGAAAGTATAACACTAACCATCTATACTTATATAAAATAAGACAAATAGTGTGTAAAATGAGAGTATAGAGGCAAAATGTCATAAAAAAAAAGAAAAGAAAAGAAGGAAAGAAAAAGGATATAAATCAGTGTAAGAAGGATAAAGGATAAAAAAGCTAAAAAAAAGCTTAAATCAGTTAATTTATCATGATTAATATATTACATATACATGTGATACAATGATACATATGATGCTGGTAATATTAATTACCTGTTATTATAAGTAATTACCTTTATTAAATTTAGATAAATTTTAATATAAGTAATATTTCAATTATAAATGAAATTAAGTTATATAATAAATAAAAATAAGTAAAATTATATAAAAATAATTAGTATTAAAAATTGATATATAGGCATTTTGCAGTAGAAAATGAGAATATTACCAAAAAAATTTTTATTTTATTTTATAAATTAAATATTATTTTTTTTTTAGTAAAATAAATCCAGATTTAAATTAATTTTAAAAATTATTTCTGATAGATCTATATAAAAAAAAATAAAAATAATTCTAAATTATAAAATAATTATTCTAGTTTTTTATTTTAGAAAAAGATTATTTCTAATTAAAATTATTATTTATTATAAAAGTAAAGGAAACAAATGTTAATAACATTTTAAAGTAATATAAAAATATATATTGTATATCTTAGAAAAAGTATTTCAAATTAAAAAAGTTATACTTATCCCTTAAAAAAGTATTAATTTCTTAATAAATATTAAATATTAATTTTAATAATATAATATAAATAATATAAATAATTATATGACAACTTAAACTTTCGAAATATATACGAGAATTTTCGATGTTACGCGTCATTTAGATCGACATTGCATGTGGCACATAAAAATTATAAAAAAAAAACTGAATTTATCTTAAAAATTTATTTTATAAAATGCCACCAACATTGATTTCACCTTCGGAAAATGATTATATTCTTCGAGGAGTTGATGCTAATATTCGTGCGGACGGCAGGGGACGTCTTGATTATCGTCAAGTAATATTGGAAACCGGTCTTATAACGCAGGCTAGTGGAAGTGCTCGTTGTAGGCTGGGAGAAGGAACCGACGTATTAGTTGGTGTTAAAGTTGAGCTCGGTGCAATAGAATTAGATGGTGTCGAAGAAGATGTTGCCGAGATAAAGGCTAAAAGGGGAAGAGTTATCTGTAATGTCGAATGGTAAATTGGATTCATTGTTAGAATTAATTATGTATATTCTTTACTTTATGTTTTATGTTAAGTCTCGCAGTTCTCCAATTGCTTCACAACAATTTGCAGGTCGAGGAGCTGACGATTTCAATATTGAGCTCACCCAGATGTTGGATCGTGTATTGAATGGCCCACAAAGTGGTTTGGATCTTGAAAAACTATGTATCATCCCCGGACAGCAATGTTGGATTGTTTACATTGATGCCATAGTGTGTTATTACATTTATAATTAATACATATATGATGTTAAATATTTTAATGTATTGAACTTTGTTTTTTATATTATCTATTGAATTAGGTTTTAGACTATGCTGGGAATTTATTAGATACAATATTTATGACCACACGAGCCGCACTTTATAATACAAAAGTACCAAAAACAATTATACAGGACATCGGTGATGGAGAAATAGTATTCGATATATCAGATGACGTTGAAGGATGGGAGAGAATTGAAGGCTGGGATAAGGTTCCAGTCGCCATCACTTTGAATAAGGTTAAGATCACTAGTTAAACTTTCTTTTTTTTTTAAAAAAAATTATGTATTGATTTTCTCGTGTTTAGATCGGATCGCGTCATATCGTTGATGCCACTCCACTAGAAGAACTTACGACAGAAGCTAAACTGCTTGTAACAGTGAACAAAAATGGTAAAGTTTGTGGACTTCAGAAAAGTGGAGGCGGAAGCATAGATCCAAGTCTACTAAATGAAATGGTGCAGGTATCTATTAGTTCCTTTATGCATTTCATTTCTTTTGCTTCTGATTCAATGGGCGTCTTCACATGTGCTAGTTAGGTTTAGATTAGGGAATCCTAAACTGGCGCACTTGATCTCTTGATAGGAAGAAATAAACATTGCCAACTCTATAAACTCTTAATTTCTAGACAGGACGATCGTTAGGTCAAAGTTTGATAAAAAGTTTGGATGAAATGGTCCGACGGGAAGAAAATGATATTAATTTGAAGCAATCGCGAAGAGAACGTGTAGAGAAACTTGGATTTTTCGCTGCGACATAGAAATAGTCACATGACCGTGGGCGCAAGAATTTACTCGCACAACCGAAACTTTTTAAATATTTGTACTCATGCGAAAATGTTACTAACAGACGATATGCATATTCCTAATAGCTGCGGATTTTCTCATGACATTACATTGATAACGGGGTCATCCGAGTCATGAGAGTCAACAGATGCATAAAATAATTATTCTTTATTCTCCCCATAACTAAATAAAATAAATCTTCTTGAAAATATAAAATTAAAAAAAAAAAACATGAAAAATACAGAATATCTTCATTCTCCAAAAACAAATACTTACCGTCGACGTTCTAAAAGTTTATCTGACAAGGCAGATAACGGTAAAAATGGTTCACTTTATAGTAAACGTCATCATTCTCCTCCTCCAATGCGTGCACACCACCAACCAGTTATGAAATTCAACGCTGATATGTGGATGCAGGTTTTTAATTTTTATTATTCCTAAAGTACGGGTTTCATATTTAAATTTTAGTGCATTGCTACAAGTTTATTTTATCAGGACTTTAAACAAAATGTTATGGAAAAATTGTTTAAAGAAGAAAGGTTTAAGGCTTTTCAAAAAAAACGAAGAGGATTGGAAAATGTTATGGATGTTAGCGACGATGAAGATTGGCAGGAACAACAAAAGGTAATAAATTACTTACCATTTGAAAAAATATATATCGATATATATTGGTTTTTTTTATTTTTTATTTTTATTTTATTCCTTTTTTTATAAAACGTTAGTTTTTGCTATTATTTTTACGTAGATCACTCCGGTGATCGCATCTTCTCAATATGTAGTTAAATTTTTCTTCTGATTCGCTGAGACGCAGTTGATCATTGAAAAATTATGACTGATATTCGGCCCTTCTTTTTTTTTTTTAATAAGTTAATCCAATCAGTCGTTCAAAATGAATGGGAAAATTATCAATCCTCTCCATTTTCTCAATACCAACTTTGGTTACAAGAACAGCAATTACTCTATGCTGCGCAACAATATCAACAAAGTTTATATGATGCTCAACAGGTACAGCAGCAACAACAGCAACAACAACTAGAACAACAACAATTTATTAATAATCTTCCTGCGGAAATTGCCCAAGCTGTTATAACAAAGAATTTGCCCCCAGAATGGTTTCAGTATCGAGAAAGCACGAACAATGAATGAAAATTCTTTGTTTATTCTTAATAAGGAGACCAAAAAAAACTCTCCAATCGATTTTCATTTTACATTTTCTATATATATATATATTTTTTTCTTGAAAGTTTTCTTGTATTTAAGCCACGAAATACAAGTTGTACATATTATTAACTTGTGGCAAGAAATTTTGTGTTGGTCATATTATAATTTCAATTGTATTCTATTAAATAAATTCGATATAGTACAGTTGGAATAATAAATAACTTGAACGGTTTCTTAATCCTTCTTTTAATAGTATTTGAAATTGCTAATTTCGATTTAGATAAAATCACCGTATTTTCTTATCACGAGTCGAAGAAATACAGTGATTTTATAGCGACATCAAAGCAAAAAAGTTGCTTAATTCTTTCACAATAAATCGAAGCTCATCTCAAACATATCTGGAATTGAAAATCTTACCAAAATCATTTTTAATTTCAATAAGAGAGGATAGTAAAGTAAACTTTTCAATTAAATATCTTTCTATTTTTAATCTATTATCTTTTTTATAGTAATTATTTATATTACAAATGATGTTTCTTTGATTATATTCTATTTATACTTGGAAAAAAAATTTAAAATAGAATTTAAGCATACAATATTAGTTAGTATTTTCATAGTTCAAATATATATATATATATATATATAAATCAAAAATAAAAGTTAAAAATAATTAGTAATAAAATAGAAATAATTATTTAATTATATCAATTCTTATAAAGAAGATAGATTTTTATTCTAAAAAAATAAATTAGAAAATAATAATTTAAAAATACATTACTTTGATATTTATTAATAAGTTTATTAAGTAAAATCTAAATATTTAGCAAATTATTTAAATAGTAAAAAGTTATAATTTTATTAAAAATTAATGAAATTAAAGGTTTAAATATTTTGCTAAGTTCAAATTAAATTAAAACAAACTAGGAATATTAAGCAGTCTTTAATTGGTCTTTATAATTTAAAAGATTACTATTTCAAAAGAAGTCTAATCACTTATCTATAATAAGTAATCCCTATTAAATAAATATCATAAATATTTTATAATTAATTTGTAAAAAGCAAAAATGATATTCAAAAATTAAATAGAATTGCTAAATATAGAACTGATTCTAAAAATCCAGTTCTAAATTCTAAAATTTTAAATCTTAAAAATCTGAATTTCTAAGAGATTTATTATTTTATTTTTATTAAGTAACTTATTAAAACAGTATAATAGATAAGTTTAATAATAATTTTATAAAAATGATTTTTTATAATTTTTTTTGAAATTTTTAAAACCACTTAGAATCACTTAATATTTTTAAACTAATAATCATATTTATTAATTATATTTTTAGTTATTTTCTATTTATATAAAATTATTATTTAAAGTAAAAAAATATTAAAAAATTAATATATTTATCAAAACTTAATATCAGTTATTATTTTAAAATTTAATATAAATAAATATTATTCCTTTAATTGTAAATTTTTTGCTATTTTATTTATTAATTAAAGTTAATTTTAATTATATTAAAATTATTTATTAAAAAATTAATATTTTATCCCTTAAAGTGTAAGTATAAATTATTTGTAAAATATTATAGAAAAATTATAATATTTTAATATCTAGTGATTATAAAAAGATGAAATAAAGTTTATTAGATTTGTCATATAAAATGTATTTAATGATGGAATTTTAAAATTTTTAAAATTAATATTATTAATATATATTAATTTTTTAATTTTAAATTTTTTAAAATAACTTATTATTTAATAATTCTAAGAAAATAAAATTTAGTTGGATTTATCTCAGACATGCTTGATGATAGAAAGGTTTGAATTTAATAATTATTTTTTTGTAGTCAAAAAATCGTGTAATAAAAAAATAATACATTTTGATTGGCTATTGATATTGAATCCATAAACTGTAATAAGAACAGAAAAATGAAAAGCAGTGATAGTCAAATTTTTTATATAGTGGAATGTGTAACTGTGCTGAAGTTTCTCGTGTCAGCTAATTTTCAGTGATGAAAACTTCCTTATATCTTTAGATATTTAGGAAAAGCCATAGCTTTGTATCAGCCAATCTTCAGCGGTGAAGTCATAAGTTACTTGATAACTAATAGCTATTCGTGTCAGCCAATCTTTGGCGGTGACAGTTGATTTATTGATTTTGCTAAAGTTTTTCGTGTCGACCAATCTTTGGCAGCGAGAACTTTCCTGTATCTTTAGATACTTAGGAAAAGTCATAACTTCGTGTCAGCCAATCTTCGATAGTAAAGTTACAAATTAATGAATATCTGAGTTATTTTTCAGTAATTGCTAGCTTTATCTGTAAAATTATTTTATTATAGTTATTTAGATTGAGGATCTACCTTGAAAAGAAATGATGATTATTTATCAGAATATTTTATAACTTGAAAGATATGTACTAAACTTTATTAATAATTTTTCAGATATATAGTAAATTAGAAAATGTTAGAGAAAATAATGAAATATATAATACTATCAAAGAGGGAGGGAGTACGTGAATTCTAGGCTATTAAATGCATATTCTAGTATTAAGTTATTTCTTTACTCTCATATTTTTTAAGAAAAGTATCTATAACTAATTTGTTTATACTTCTATTGCTCATATAAAACCTTATCTATTCGCAAAAATTTAAAGTTAACTTCTTATTAAAACTTCTTCTGATACTTAAAATTCTCAAAAGACATTATCCTAATTTATATAATACTTTATGATCTTGTACTAAATACTTAGTAAGCTTAGAAACCTTTAATTATATTTAGCTATATCAGACTATCCTACATCAACTCAATGATATAATGTTAGATACTATTATATTTCTCTCCTAACATCTGACTGAACTTAATCCTTAATTTAATATTTTAACCATAATATCCATAGATATTTGAAATCTTAATTAAGATTATTCTACCTTTAACTTTGTAAATTTCATCAAAAAAATTGTACCAAGTTCCCTCTATAGGCAGTTATATCAATTATTGAATAACAAATTATTTATCCTTGATTTACTCTTCTTTACTTACTACTTTATGCATATCAAGATCAAATCTTTTTAGATAGATCGCTATTCTGCCCTAAAATAATTTGAAACAGATTACAATATATCCCTTATTAAATGGAAAATAACACAGTATCTACTGGTTTTTTTGATTTTATTCCCTATACTTTTATCATCTCACTTTCTTTTCATAAATCCTTTTACTTTAGTTCTAATTAATCAAATTTTTAGATCAGTAATAACTAGGTTTCTAATACCAGATGGTTAAGCCTATTTTGAATTAGTTTAGAATAGGTTAGTCTAGAATGGTGTAAGGTTGATTTTGATTTAGTTTTACTAAATAAAAATTTCTATACTCTCTCATTTGTAATTTGTTTTTTCTTACTTTACTTTTAATAAAGATTATGCAGAGCTATTGTATATTAAAATAAAAAAAAACTTAAAATATTTTGATATCTAATGATTATAAAAAAAATAAAAAAAATTTTTAGATTTATTATATTATGATATATCTAATGGTAATATTTTTAAACTATTAAAATCAATAATTATCAATATATATTAATTTTTTAATTTTTAAAATAATTTATTATTTAATAATTACAAAAAATATAAAAATAAATATATAACTCTTTCTAGCAATTAATCAACCAAAAATTTTATGTAAAAATATATATGTTCAAGGGTAATTATAGCTTAGTCTGCAAACAAACATAAAAACTTCCTTTACAAATTTCTTTTTCTTTTTATTTTTTCCAAACCTTCTTATCACAAAAAACAGTTTTTGTTAGTCTAAACGGTAGTGTTTTTTATTAAATATTTTTTTATCACTTCTCTTAACTATTTTTTTTCATATTTTTTTACTTTTTATTTTTATTTATAAAAGTGAGCATCAGAGGTATCCTAAATGATGATCAGATCAACAATAACTTTAAATTAACCAATTGCACATAATAACTTTTTCAATTACCTTCATAAATAAAATCACAAACTTTTTAGATCTTTGATATCATAGAGCTTGTTAATCTTAATAGAATTTTTCAGTTTCTTATAACTGTATTATTTAGACTTTATACAATATCTGCTGGTAGCTATAATCTAAATTGATAGATATTTTAACATAAAAGTTTAAGAGTATATAAGAGTTTTTAACAGAATTTAGTAATATAGACACTCTTATATCAGAAGGTCTCTATATTAGAAATTAATCAGGTAACTTAGCTAGAAACTTGTTAGAGTTGAATTTTTTTTATTAGTTTTTTTTTTTGATTTAAAAATAATTTAAGTTACTTATTTTTGTATTAAATTTAAATTTAGAATAGAATTATTGTTAGGAAAAAGAAAGGGATGTAATAATAATCTAGTTATTATATATTAAGGGATCTCTACTAGTAATTATTTCTTGAGTATAACAGAATATCAAAATAATCTAGAACTAGTAAGTTTTTTAGCTTGTAAAAATATTTTAAGTAATTTAATTTATTTTTTCTACTTTTATACTTGATTTTCAAGATTTTCTTGTTTTAATTTACTGAATTTAAATTTTTACAATAAATATGAGTATTACTGCGTCTTTTAAAAAAATAATTACAAAATATAAAATTTAGTTTATTGAATTTATCATATTAAGATCTATTAAATAATAGTATTTTTATATTTCTAAGATTGATAATAGCAATTTAAAATTTTAATTTTTTTTATAATAATTTATTTATTTATCTTAAAAAAATCACTAGTTAATTACATTTTTTTTAATTTTGACTTAGAAAACATTATAAAATTTATTATAAAAGTATTAACTTTTTAATAATATATTTTAAAATAATTAAAAATAATTAAAAATGATTGTAATTAATAAAATTTGTAGGTAAAATAGTTAAAAGAATATTATATTTTTTATAAGAATAACATCAAATCTACAGTAGCGATCATAAGTATTTAACCGCTCAAGATCATCCAAAATTATTATATAAC